TGCTTACATAGGTGGACGAGCTCACAGCCCACCTGGTGTTCAGTGGTTACTGGAGCCCATAGACATCTACAACGTAAATGCGCCACCCACCCACCTTGAGATATAAGTTCTAAGGTCTCAGTATAGTTATAGTTATAGTGTATTCCGTCGTTAATCTGCAGTACTATGAAAATATCTTCAAAAAGTTCAGGAACATTTTATTTTCTCTAAAATCCTGATTCTACTTCCAAATGGAGCTCGTCAGCTTTGTAATAAAATTAAAATATCACACCAATACACTACTTCAGATAAAAGTTGTATCTGAGAAAGCAAATTATGAGTACACCTAAATTTACATACACATTGGTATCGATAATGTGTATATCGATAGTCGATAAGGCACGTATTTTAAAGGGCACTTGCAGTTCTCATTATGACCGTCACGTGCGCTGTCGAGTGGCGCTGTTGTGCCAACAAGCTAGGGTCGAAACGTGTGAAATAATCTAGATACCTAGCATACGTTTTTTACAACGGTTTCTGACAAAACGCGGTAAACAAATTGGCAAGTCACACAGCCTTTAAATAATCAAAATCATTGTCGTTACCAATAATTTTACAAAATCTTGGAAAAGAAAAACAAATGTTTTGAAATAGTACAAAGGTCTGTCTTTAAAATCAAGAGATTAATGCTTTTTTTTAATATTATCTACCACAACATTAAAAAAATCCGAAATCTCGCAAGTAGATTCTTAATTTGAAACAACGAATAACGAAATAGGTAGAATTACATTACATCAGATGTTTCCATTAATATTTGCAGCCTAGTAGAGTACGCCACAGTTGTTGTAGTTTTCTGAGAATTTCGGCAGAGACCCGTCGCCTCTCTGCTGCCATTCTCGACGGCGGCACGATAAATCGGGTCGAGTAACATAGCCTGAATTCACCTCAATGAGTCTCGCTTTTCGTCGCTATAAAGAATAATCCAAGCGACCCTGACTGGCGACCCAACATCAGTACCCACACGTCTCTCCCTCACCCTTACCATCTCAGTACGAGCTTGAAAGAGACAAAGCCTACTTTGGTCGTTCGCTTTCTATTCATTAGTAGTGATTATGGCATGGGATGACTTGACATAGGGACATTGGGGTAGCAGCCGTGGGGTAACCCTCCTGAGGTTTGTGAATTTCAACTGATGCCTTATCCGAAAAATGGATGAGATTTTATGAACGTCTTAGGTACTGCAACTTATTCTGAAGCAGAGGTTGTATGTTTATTTTCTGGTATAATCATACTTTTTTCTGTCTCGGCAGAGTTACTTTACAAAAGTTAAGCGATTCTGGATTTAATATTACAGAGCTGTCTTTTGCTATAATTCACGAGTTCGGTATTTTATTAAAACTAATCATAATCCCTAGATCATATTAGCTCATTGTTACACATTAGACATATGACCCTAATACTGAGGAGTACTTGGGTATAAGGTCTGTATACCATACCCTTCCCTAAATTGTTCAATTTAGAAAAGGGATATTACATCCCTAAGATTACATAAAATCAAATTCCTATCCGCAATTTCATACCAAACATTTGCGGCACTTTGGATCGAGTTTCACGATTCGTGTTTAATGAGCGATTTCAAACTCTGCAACGGCTGCTCCTCGGGTTTAGTCGAATCATATGTACTAACAGTTTCAAGTGATATCTTAATTAACGTTAATGATCGATTAACCTAAGGTGTTAACATTTTCATCATCAGTCGTATATATACGGTCGTATTTCGTGTGTTTCTATATAATATAGTTTATACATAATTGTACATTTTCTATATATATTATGTTACGTTTTGTTTAAGTTATTTTCTTCCATTCATATAACAGTTCGACATTAAATTTAATGATTGGCTCTCTATCTCTGGATCTGCTCTGCACAATTATCTTTTTCGTTTAGTATTCTGTCAACTACTTTGAGATTCTACTAATATGAGAAATCGTATTAGTATCACCATATATGGTATATTAGAAACACTTATCCGTCATAATTCGAGCGGTCACGTCTGTTACTAAGAGCGACCATTGAAACCCAAAAAAAAAACATCAGAATTAATCAGGATAGTAAATGAAATGTGTTTCGATTGGGACTTCAAATAAGTAGCAGTTATAGCTATTGTCTCTAAACAGCTTTATGATAGTTTTTGTAAGTGTTTATGTAGCCTGACTTAAACAACTAATTTTTTTCAAAAAGGAAACCAGATTGGAATAAATACGTCGCGATTTTTATGAATCGAAATTTCACAATGGAGCGCACATTTACGCTTCTATTTAGTTACATCCAAACACATTTTACACTATGAAACGTAAGTCTCAATCGCAACAATATTTCCTGGGATAATGGAGGCAATGCGTTCCCGATGATAAGTTATGAATGTGAAGCCGGATGCTTGAGCTTACTTATTCACCCGTCTATTGAATCCGCGCCCGGGAAATTTTACATTTTATTTATTGAAGCAAAACGCTATTCGTTATCGGAATTTTGATCCCTACGAGTCACGGATTTAAGTTGTGTTTTAAATGCTTCTTGAACGTCGAGGACTTTAACGAGCTGATGACATATTTCAATATTTTTAAAAGGAAAATCCTTTTTCTGGAGAATATTTCAAAGTTCAATATAATATTTTATTTTGCCGTGTACCTCTGTTGTGTTTTAAGTTTCTTATTAAGACGCTATGCGATGCGGAATGCAAATAAAAACCGATACGTCAGTTTTATTGATTCGTACTAATCATCAGACCTCAACCAACGCAGGTCACACACAAATAAAATCATCGATACCTTAAACTCTATACCCATTTACGGGTATGTTTTATTATTTTGTATCGTTCTACGTACCATTTACGAAATAAACGTATTCCCCGTTTAAGGTTTGATTCATTTTGAATAACTAGAAACTTCCATAACTGTATGAGCAGGCGTCAAAATCGGTTGGATTTGGTAACATTCGATGGAATGGATGTGATTAAGCGCCGGTCGTGAGCCGATTAAATTGACGGTCAGTTCCATAGTTGCTTGATAGTTACTGCGAATTGTTTAATCATCTGACGTTTTTTTTCGATGAATAGTTCCTTTTTTTGTCGTTGTCGTTAAGTATTTTATTGTAATATATCCGATGTAAACGTTTAATGATGATTTCTTACTATATCGGTATCAAGGTTCTATATTACTGCCTAATTTTGCCGCATATCTGGCATTTGCAATAAAAATTAATTTAATTATATTAAATTTCAATGTATTTTGGGATTTAGTGAGAGATAGTCTGTCTGGGATTTTGTGGTATGGACATGTGATGCGCAGAGAGAAGATGCATGTAACTCGGAGATGTATGGAAATGGTAGTGCAAGGTACGGGGGGGAAGAGGTCGACCGAAGAAGACATGGACGGAGTGTGTGAATGACGATATTGGAGAGAGAGGAGTGAGTGTTGATGACGGCTGATAGAAGAGAATGGAAAAGAAAAATTATATGTGCCGACCCCACCTAGTGAGATTAGGTGGAGAAAAAGATGAGGAGTCTGTCTCGGATTTTGACGTTGTGACCACTATGGAATTATCTTTTGTTATTTAGAAATATTGAAAAATACCAAAGATATCTCTCTTAAATGCTTAGTGATTTTCACTTGGAGAAAGAGCCGCGACTACTAAACATACGCCGACAACATAGACGAAAGTCTATACGTTAGGAAGAACAAAGAGTTGTTTATTTTAACACAATTATTGACCTGACCTATCTATCTAATTATCTGTCTATGACTTCTCAACTTAATTTTCACTAACTTGAAGACGTCCGATTAAATTGGAAATTTGCACACGAGTTTTTTTTACTCACGGCATTTCAATCACAATTATCAGGATATTAAAAAAAATCTTGTTTGGTTTGCTTTTTTATTTATTGCTTAGATAGGTGGACGAGCTCACGGCCCACCTGACGTTAAGTGGTTACAGCAGCCCATAGACATCTACAACGTAAATGCCGCCACCCACCTTGAGACATGAGTTTAAGGTCTTACTTTTAATTACGACTGCCCCGCCCTTCAAACTGAAACGCATTACTGCTTCACGACAAAAATAGGCAAGGTGGTGGTACCTACCCGTGCAGAATCACAAGACGTCCTACTACCAGTAATTATGCAAATTATAATTTTGCGGGTTCGATTATTTCCTTCACCGTGGAAGTCGATCGCGAACATTTGTTAAGTATGTATTTCATTAGAAAAATTGGTACCCGCCTGGGATTCGAAAACCAGTGCATCACTACATACGAATCCACCGGACGTCTTGTCCTTTAGGCCACTACGACTTATTTGCTATGTTATTTGCTAATGTGTCTTTTATATCATTTTTATACAACACATATTTTTTACTGTTGAAGTGGGCGAACGAACTTATGGCACATCTAGTGTTAGGTTCCATTGCCATGAAACCGCCATCCATCTTGAAACATAACGACAAAGCCTCAAATGTATTTATAACATTAGAGCTGTCTCACCCTTGAAATCTAAACGCGTATCTTCCTTATGGCAGTAATACCGTAAATTTATAAAGTGAAATTAAATACTTGACATTAATTCATATTATACAAATAAATCCGTGTGATTTTTATCGAAAAGCAGTCATGGTTTCGATTTGAAGGGGAGCCTAGCCCGTATAAAGTATAAATGGATCACAGGATTCATAGTAAATACAAGTTAATACTAAGAGGATCACGAGATTTCCTACGCAATTACAACTTAAAAATATTGCGAAAATTCCACGGTCAGAACATTTATATTATGTATCTATTTAATCACATTACTATACCTCAACTAGGTACTAGGATTTTATTAATCTAAATTAGAATTGTACCGCTTATTACAATGATTGCTACCGTCATTTGTAAAGTATACATTGCTGTTTACATTACTGGATATTTTGATTTCGCTCTTTATGCTATATAGTCCCAAGCTACAAGGTTTATATTTAATTGAACTTACCTAGAGCGGAGCTGGCCATCCGTATGGTTTGTGCTTGTAGCTCGTCCGGAGAGCCGTGGGGTATCTTTCTCTTCCTCGGCCGACCTTTTGGAGTTGAACCTCCACTATAGTACTGGGGTGAGTTTCCGCCATTGTGCATATCTTGACACCTATGTGTGTTTTGTTAAGATTACCGTCATTACATCCATAGATTTTCTAAGAGTGATCAAAATTAAAAGAATAAATTTTAGCTGTATTTATACGGTACAGTTATAACCATTATATGTTGGTCTCTTAACGTAAACATTTTTGATACGCACGATCGTGTTAGTAATATACAAAAATCTTTTCACTAGCTACTTCTACTCTAAGCACGACTTCCTTTTGATAGAATTATTTACTGGTGGTAGGACCTCTTGTGAGTCCGCACGGGTAGGTACCACCGTCCTGCCTATTTCTGCCGTGAAGCAGTAATGCGTTTCGGTTTGAAGGGTGGGGCAGCCGTTGTAACTATACTTGAGACCTTAGAACTTATATCTCAAGGTGGGTGGCGCATTTACATTGTAGATTTCTATGGGCTCCCGTAACCACTTAACACCAGGCGGGCTGTGAGCTCGTCTACCCATCTAAGCCAAAAAAATAATATTTAAATAGTTTAATACCTTTTTTTTTAATTAATGGCCTGAGTATTTGCTTGGGAGGTAGGGATGATTTGGAAGCATGAAAGGAATTGGCGTATATCCCTTAAAATTAAGCAGCCAGGTATTGGTCGAAGTCAGTTATATTTTTTTGTATTTGGTTATTTATGTATATATTGATATTAAGCTTTTATATGCAAGCTTTAATGTTATCATCGGGATACCTTCTACACAAGGAGTCAAGCGCAAAATTATAAACAGTGAAAGAGAGAGAGAGAGAGTACAGCGTGTACCTATACAAATATTTAAGCCGCGAAACATAAATTCTCGGAATGCTTTTTTCGAACATTGAGGTTCATTTTTAAAACAAAACAAATTTTAATTGAGTTTCTATAAAACGAATCGAATTCCAAAGACAAAAGCTCTTAACGGATTTTACACAAACTAATTGGGTCAACTCCTCGAATGAATGAGTCAGAAGAATCTTATAGTTTTGTTGTCTGGGTGAATAGATTCGTAGTAAGTTCCACGTGGTAAGACCTCTTGTGAGTCCGCACGGGTAGGTACCACCACCCCGCCTATTTATGCCGTGAAGAAGTACCTAATGCGTTTCGGTTTGGGTAGCCGTTGCAACTATACTGAGACCTTAGAAATTATATCTCAAGGTGGGTGGCGCATTTACGTTGTAGATGTCTATGGGCTCTAGTAACCACTTAACACCAGGTGGGCTGTGAGCTCGTCCACCCATCTAAACAATAGAAAATAAAATCAAAATTATTGCTGTTTGGAAAACTATAGTTTTTTACTAACGTAATTTAAATGGGGTTCCTTCGTAGGTTTTTCTCTTTTGGATTTGCCACGGTATACTGACGAACATACGACCCACCCGATTGTGAGTGATGTCGCTCAAGGACATCAGCAAAGCCAAGGGCACAGCTATTTTTACTACGCACTATTTTTAATTCGTTTTAATTTATTTCCTATTTTTTAGTTGGATTTCTATAAAAGCGTATTTTGTTAGTTTTTTTAAGCTATTATTTATTTTATTAATTATATAAAGAGGAATGATGTCGTACGTGCCGAGAATACATCAAATGAGAATATTGTATTTTTATTGATTTAATGTGTCATTGTATGTAGTTACGAATGTCGTAAAAAAATCATTTTAATTCAATATGAATTCAAATAAAAATTAATATTAAATTCGACACGCACGTTCTCGAATGACCTCACGATTCTTTCTTCTTTTAGGAATAGCATCTATACTAATATTATAAAGAGGAAAGATTTGTTTGTTTGTTTGTTTCGAATAGGCTCCGAAACTACTGGACCGATTTGAAAAATTCTTTTTCCATTAGAAGCCGACATTGTCCCTGATGAACATAGGCTACTTTTTTTAATTTTTTTATGTAATTTTTTTGGTTTCATGTTTGTTTTAATGTTTCCGAAGCGAAGCGAGGGCGGGTCGCTAGTCGTGTAATAAAAATGAAACCCGCAAAAATAATTGCGTATTTACTATACAATTGAGTCCTCAAACTTCAACACGGTAGACGACATTCACGCTATATTACATAGACTGCGATAACAATTTAAAACCAGGTGGGGCATGAAGTCGTTTTATGCCATAAAAAATAACATTACATGCGAATTATATTATCTTTAAAATGACAATAAAGTTTCTTACCTATAACCGTTAGTCATTTCTTCATCGCAGTAGTCATCCAAGCAAGCGGTGTCGTAATGAGGACGACAGTATACCAGACCACCTTTCATTCCGAACACATCCCCCTTAGAAAGCTGAGTCCCGCAAGCGACACAAGTGAAGCAGTTGAGGTGGTAGACCAGGTCTCTGGCTCGCATCACGAGCTCATTGGCAGTGATACCATTACAGCATCTGCCGCAACGCTTCACGCAAAACAACCTGAAACAATTTCCTCGTTTTCGGCTTCCCTTCGCTGAGATTTTTGGCAGAGTATGAACCTAATCATCCTATGCGTAAAGATGAAAACCGCATGACGCTCCTTAAAAGCAAAAGCGGAAAATAAACAAACAAAAGATTTGAAACATCAAAATGTTTCCGCGCATTGTTAATGTGTAACATTGTTTCGCCACCCCTACCGGCGTAATCAATCAGTCTGTAGTTACACATCTTGACAGTCCACGCCGTATTGAACACACGCGTACAATTATAGTGCCATATGCCATGGATTTTGTATTAAAAAAGAAAACAGGTGCCCACAAAATAGCTACGATCAGAACTATTTTTGTAGCAGAAAACTAGTGCTCCCGAGTTGACTATAAAGAGATATATTTAGGTTAGTGACTCCAAAATTTTCGATATTTTATACTTAAATTTAGTTAAGCTTCATTTTAACAACACAAGACGAGTCCAAAGATTTTTTCACTAAATTGTACCGTGCTTAAGTTTTTTTTTCTGACGATGGTATTCTAAAGAAAGAAAAAAGCGATAACAATCAATAATGAGCCGTTTTATTCCAAATTTGTGAGTTTATTGTTAGGGAAACTGCGTTGCCAGCCAAAAAAAATATCCAGAATACGGAATTTAAAAAAAATCCTGTCTTAATTCTACTAGTGCTGTCCCTTATCTGTAATCAGGTATACGTGTCATCTCCAAGAAAATATTTATAATACGCAAAATCGGCATAATAATAACACGCGTTTCGTTTACCGCGATACAAAAACACGCATCAAAAATGTTGACATCTCGTTATCGATAATTGTTTGGTCGACCAGTACGGCGGCGGCTCCGACAGGTGTGGGAAACGCGCAAGTGTAGCGAAGTGAAGGAAGAGAGAGAAGTGGCCCCGAAACGACTCCCTAATTGCACCCCATGTTGACACGTGACAACCCGCGGCTCGCTGCTTGACTTCAGAAACGAGTTTATTCTGTACGTCTGACCACAATGAGCGAGCAATCAAAAGTTAATTGAACTCCGGATACGCGAATAACGATAACATTTAATCAGACAAAGAAGAAGACACGTGTAAACGATTCCACGTGATTCAATAATAAAAAAAAAACAAAGTAATCATAATTATACAGGGGTCAACACCAAATTCGACTTTGATTTGAAACAGTTTGCTTTTGAACTTTAATAAATCGACCACATATGAAACAAAATGCATCAGCATCGTATTTACAGTTTCGTGACATTTTAAGTTTTTCTGGGCTTGTACAAAACACCTGATCGTTGTTTATGACTCGAGTGACATCTACTGGCACTGTGTAAACGTAAACACTCCACTCTCATAGCGCGGTTTTTTCGAAAGTATGAAAATTAATTAAAATTTATAAAAAAAATGAAAAATGAGTATTATTACTATAACTATCACAAAAGCAAACTTTATACCAAAACAAAGGTATTTTATTTTCGTTTTTGTGAATAATTAACCGGAAAAACCTAGTATAAAAGTTATTATAAAGAACGAATTTTTTTTTGTAGAGTTGTGTTATCGATTCGATAACATTGTCAATTAATCAGATATGCCGGGGATGCTTTGAAATTCGCATTGGCGCAGCAAAATTTTCGCAACGGCGTCTGCAGACAAATCGAAAATAAACCAATTAAATGTTTCATAGATACCTGTAATAATCCTCTTTGCAATATATGTTTCCATCCCGTGAGAAGCAAGTCAGTTCGGTGTCTAAAGGCAGACGACATTCGCAGCAGCGCAGGCAGGATCCGTGCCACTGACGATCCACAGCTAGGAGGTAATATCTGAACATAAGACGTTTATAAATTACAGCATAAATAGACCAAATTGTTGTAGATCTTCTTAGACTATCCTGAATGGTGTTCATCGCTGTTCTCCATAGTGTCTTCCACTCCAGGAAAGCATAAAAGCTCACCAATCCAAAAAAAAACGTGTGTGGATGGATGATGGACTCATCTGCATTAATACTCGTACTATCCAAACTTGGAAAAATCGTGGTATGCCGCACAAAATATTTGACGATGATGAATGGTGATCACTAGTTCGTCGCGTTGCATTGATTGAATAATATAACTAATTTCATATCATGGGTCACCATTTTAGGACGCTTAAATAAAAGCGGCTCTAAATAAAATAATAAAATGTCTATTTTATGTAAAAACGTACAATACTTTTTTTATGGCGGGGATCATGGCCTCCTGGATTTTTTTGCCGCGCATGCGCGTGCCGTTACCAAAGGTTTGGCCACAACGTTTTAATTAGGGACAAAATTATCGATAAATAAGCAATATTCATTTAACAAGTATAGGTACTACTAATCGATGTCGGCACAGCTAGCTACTAATTTCTCGAGGGTATATTGAATGGCGGTCGGTCTGGCATTGAGTTTCAATAGGTGATGCCGCGGTTAAAAAAAACGTAATAGCAATTGTGCTACCGTTAAATTAACCCTATGTAATACGAAAAACGGCTTTGTGTGAGCAAAAGACAAAGTAATAAAAACATCACCATCTATGTACAATCACTACTACACTAGTACCTATATGCGTACCACCAGTAATTACGTGTAAAGTAAAGTAAAAGTATAGATATACATATAATATGTTTGAATGTATTTGAGTATGTTGATCAATCTCTGGTTGCACAATCGGGGATTCCTCGACTGTTTTTTAATTACGAAAATTTAATATAAAAAATCCTGCGTAAAAGCGTCGCCGCAAAAATGATTATGCAAACTTCGTCTTCCGATTTAAAAGACTTTTTCCCACAACTACAACTCATGTTTCATTCTTAATAGTTATTATTTTTACTTTAAATAATCTACTTGTGCATTGCAACACGTTTAACTTGAATTTTTATTACATTGAAACATCTTATTAGAGCTTTCTTGGTAATGGTCAACGCGGCATGGGATCATCTTTTTTTTTTTCTTCCTGAGCTGCTGGTAGCCTTGAGAGACTATTTCAGCGTAACATTAACTAGTAGGTGAGCTCACGGGGCTCAAACCTGACGACGTTGCTAACACGAACCCTAGCAAGAGCCGTGCTTCGCAGAATCTACCACCGGATCGGAGTCGCGACCCACTGAGAAGATCCGGCGAGAAACTCAGTGGGCTGTGTCTGAGAGTTAATTTACTCGTCGAGCCCTTTGTCACAAGCGACGGGTTCGACGAGAACGGTGACCGGTGCTTGAAGTACCTAAAAGCACCGTTAGTGGATCGGGAGGATCCGAAATGACGTGTTTTGGGCGACGTCGACTGCTTTCCATTCTTTCCGCAGGATCGGGAATGTAGTTACCGGCGACCACGATGAGAGGGTTCTCGTGTCGTGCCGCTTTATCGAAGTGGTGGTAGCATCGCGAAGATTTTAATCTAATATAAAAAAACAGCTTTTTTGTTTTTTTTGTTTTTATAAACTCACAATCGACTAAGTAATGAGTTGATCCACGATAAAAACAAAACCCTATCGCCATACATGATAATTAACCGTACACAATAACTAAATAATAAAAACATGTATTCGTTTAATATCGAAATATTTTAAAGATTGAAAGATAAACAACTGGAAATACGAAGCTGTCGAAAACCTACGTAATGAAAACTGAATTTACGTAAACTCCAAAGATCCCTTATTACTGTTTCTCGTGGCAATTTCTTTGTTCGAAGAATTTTATTGTATCGAAATAGCGCTGATTTCGAGTCACGCGGCAGCGAGCGTTTGCTTGCTTATTTTTTGGGAGAAAATATTTTTATTGTTCGTTTTTTTTTTTTTAAGTTGAAATTCGCAATTCAACTTTTTCAGATCGTAGACGTCACAAAAGCCTTCAAGGACGTCAAAAATACCTTCACAGTTACGTTGTTATGTTTATTTATATTGTTTGTATTTGGAAAAGTAGTTTAAAAGTACTTTAAAAGTTCATTTTTTTTTTCGTAATTATCTATGAAAAGCCGACGCGAGTATGTACTCCTCCTCCTCGAGTCGTGTTCCTCATGTCTGAGGGTCGTGACCACCATCACCCATGAGCTTCAATCTTAGGATCTTTTTCCACTTTCCCCTGTCCACGGCGTCATGCAGCGCGCTGTACACTGTACTGTCCAAAGCGGTGCGGATCTGATCGGACCAACGAGTATGGCTGCGGCCTCTAGATCTGTTGCCTATGTACTACCATCCTGTTTATTTACAACCGTGTAGAAATTCTATGATCCGCTTAGAGGGGTGGGGAAACTCCCACGTCTGTTTTAAAGTATCTAGTTTTAAAGTATACTACCTGGAGCCACTGCGGTCATCCACAGTGCGTTTCCAGAGATCTTTTTTGCCACGTACCATCCGGCTATGGAATAAGCTCCCCTCCACGGTGTTTCCCGAGGCTTGTGGAGCGTATTAAGCGGTAGGCAGCGGCTTGGCTCTGCCCCTGGCATTGCTGAAGTCCATGGGCGACGGTAACCACTCACCATCAGGTGGGCCGTATGTTCGTCTGCCTACAAGGGCAATGAAAAAAAAAAGGTGTTTGCGTTATTATGTCTACAAAATACAGCAACCTTAGCAAGCCCATTGGGCCGCTAGTTCGTTCACGCATCGGAACAATAGAATTTAAAAGCATTGCAAAAATAAAATATTCTTCATTCAAATCTGCAATGATTCTAATCTTGTCCAACAATGGAAACTGTGTTCTTGGTTCCGCAGCGTCCTCGTTATCGCCTCAGGACTCAGCCACGAAAAGGCAATATCATTATTTCGCTGTATATGCACTACGCATCTACTGCTAGAGTGCTGAGTCATCCCCTAAAAATTTATGTAGAATTGCTAATAATAAAATACACGGAGCGATTAATCCTTTGATCTAAACGAGAAATTACGCTATTAGAAAAAAAAAATAGCCAGTTTTCTTAATGATAAATACTTAAATGCGTCCGGATTGATATCATGTCTCAAAGTGGCAAGATTGGTAATGAATTAACTTGTAATCAAAATAAATTATTGGGGACAAATTACACTTGGTTCTCTAGCCTCTCTCCAGAAACCCTCTAGGAACAACGCGAACAAGAGACTAATACGTGCTGAAATATGTTTAAATAATATGTTCCTAAGCATATATTTCAAACAGACACAGAGAAAACAAACCTTATTTTAATAAAAATAATTCCGAAATGGAAATAGAAAACACGATCCTCAGCTTTTCAGATGCCGTTTCATTTGATTACCTATATCATTGTTCAAACTAGTTCAAATCCATTTTTAATACTAATAATAATAACTGGGAACATATCACGCATGGTCATCCAGCCGCAATTTAGGATTGCCTGTGTTATGCGTGCCAAAGACTGATAAACATACCCACATATGTATAGATAATAAACACCCAGACAAAGAGCAAACAAACCTTATCATCATACTACTACATACATTACTGGTGGGAGGACCTCTTGTGAGTCCGCGCGGTTGGGTACCACCACCCCGCCTATTTCTGCCGTGAAGCAGTAATGCGTTTCGATTTGAAGGGCGGGGGAGCCGTTGTAACTATACTTGAGACCTTAGAGCTTACATCTCAAGCTGGGTGGCGCATTTACGTTGTGGATGTCTATGGGCTCCAGTAACTACTTAACACCAGGTGGGCTGTGAGCTCGTCCAACCATCTAAGCAATAAAAAAAAAACTAAAAAAAATTACAATAGTTGCCCGATGTGGGAATCGAACCCACGACCCTCAGCGCAGCAGTCAAGGGTACGAACTATTCAGTAAGTCAAAGCTTACAATGCCATGGAATATATTTTGCGGGAAACTTACAAAGCTCGCACTATAATATCGAACGTGAGTCAGACTATTAAATACGCAGCTATATATGAAGACTAGCTGTACCCGTCCGCTTCGCTGGGCATTTAAAATTAACATTATTATTTCTCATCCCCCCAAAGAATCTCATCATTAACGCTCCCGCAACTGGTGTAAGGAGTCCAACACTGATATAAATATTAGCGTATCCATTAAGTACCTACATGTATTTTCTACATGGATACCAAGTTTAAAGTCAATCGGATGCACGGTTTAGTAGTTATAACGGAACATCCGTAAAAACGACTGTAGATTTATATATTAGTATAAATAGATAGAACAACATTACCGATCTTGTATTTTGCCTCCGCAGCCTGCGCACTCGTCTGGTGCCCCGGGGGATCCTTCTGAGCTCTCGCGTTCCTTCAGCATGGCTTCCTGCTCCGTCGTGCCCTCCGAACTGGTCTCTTTGTCTCAAATAACAAGGTCTGTTTCCTCTTGTTTCACCGCTTCGCCGTTCGGTAAAGGCATTTTATATGTTTTTTGTTCGATTGTATTGAAGCGAGATTCCTCAGGCTCTGCTGACAAACGGTCGGCAACCATGTTAGTGTATGTATTCAATATAGACATTTGTTGGCTCTGAATTGACCAATCCCCGTGTTTCTGTATTGAACGAAACCATTTTATGCTATCGAACGTTTGTACTATTACTATGCTTGAAGGGTTTTACGATTTGCGAAAATTCTGACAGCAATTTTACCCAACAAAAATGTAATTCGTAATATTTGCGATTGTATTTTCTTATCATCCGATGAAGTTCATGAAGTGAATTGTCGTAATCTGATTAAATTTAATAGTCACTAAAATTGAATTTAAAATTGAATTAAATTTGAAGTCGTCGTGGCCTTAAGGATAAGACGTCCGGTGCATTCGTTGTTGCGATGCACCGGTGTTCGAATCCCGCGGGCGGGTACCAATTTTTCGAATGAAATACGTACTTAACAAATGTTCACGATTGACTTCCACGGTGAAGGAATAACATCGTGTAATAAAAATCAAACCCGCAAAATTATAATTTGCGTAACCACTGGTGGTAGGACCTATTGTGAGTCCGCACGGGTAGGTACCACCGGCCTGCCTACTTCTGCCGTGAAGCAGTAATGCGTTTCGGTTTGAAGGGTGGGGTAGCCGTTGTAACTATACTGAGACCTTAGAACTTATATCTCAAGGTGGGTGGCGCATTTACGTTGTAGATGTCTATGGGCTCCAGTAACCACTTAACACCAGGTGGGCTGTGAGCTCGTCCACCCATCTAAGCAAAAAAAAAAAAAAAATTAATTGTTGTTAATTGTTTTAAACAACTGAGTTTTGTTTTGAGTGAGAGAGAAAGATAGATAGATAGAGAGAGATATAGAAAGATAGGGAGAGTGTATACTTTATTGCGCATCAAACCACAATATAACATTGGAAAACAGTCAACAGGTAGCTAGAATAAATAAAAAATGTTTTCTTCTTTCTCCCAGCCAATCATTTTTATTACGAGACATTCTGAGAAAGGTACAATAGTATTTTGCGGAGTAATGTTATTGTCAATATTTGAAGTGATCCAACAAACTAGACGAAGCCGCAAGCAGATTTTTAAATAAAGACAAAGAATATGAAAGCAACTCTATAAAATACAACATAAACATTATGAAATAAGTAAATGCAGTTAGGAAGTGTTTAATTTAGGAAAGAGATGCATAATTAATTGATATTCTTTTTTGTTTAAAATTTGTGTTGAACGCAAAACGCGCAAATTAAGCTACACTAAATTAACTCAGTGCTCGTCTTCAAAGGAAGCTTACTGCATGAAGTCCTTTGAAACGGGTATACGATTAACAAATAATAATAATCTTTGCTAATTATTTAACTTGTGAAGTTTATCTGCTGAATCTCTGACAGTTAGCGCAGCACGGATTTGATATTCGCTTGAAAAACGAAGAATTCGGTACTGGTAGGTATTTGAAACATTTTGTCGGTAGCAAGACGACGACATTCTACATACATAATTATATAGGTATACTAGTGGTCCCGCAGTAGTCGAAATTCAACTATAATTAATTGAAATTATAAGTTTGAACATTATTATGGTTGTCAGAGACTATTAAATACCTCTATAATCACAGATTTCGCCAAGACTACACTATAGACAAATAATATTAAAGATAAACAATATTAACCTATTTTCAATTTGACCACAGACTTTAAGCATTAACTAAAGTTTGACAATAAGCAAAGAGTATATAATATACATATGTGTGTGTGTCAAATACATGGCAGTGTGTGTAATGTATTCATTGTTGATTTAATGTATCTTTTATGCATTATTTTTAAAAAATATTAGCATTGTGCACTCCTTCTCTATACTCTCTATAGGTGTGAGAAATTTCATACTCCTCCGTCCGCGCAATTTTCGTAAAAAGGGGTACAAACTTTTTGCTTCACGTATTAATATATAGATTGCTTTACATGATATACTCATTTCGTACAGTCGTTTATATCAGGTTATGATTTATACGTGTGAATAATCTAGAAATAAGTCTACTAATATATGTTATTGAATGAAATTGCTTCTTTTACGTACTATGTTTTTTGTGTTTTAAGGATTACCGGTGGCACGGACGCCTTTCCAGTTTCACCAGAATAGGTGGGCCAACGGATTAGTGAATGAATCTACTCCCGGATCCGAATCGCGACCCGCTGAGAAGATCCGTCGTGAAACTCGGCGGGCTGATGTATGGGTTAGGTTGCATGTCGACCTCTTTGTCGGTTTGTGGTGGTAGGGTATTTTGTGAGCCCGCAGGAATAGGTACAGTAGGCCTAGCCAGCCTATTTTTGTTGCAAAGCAGTAATGCGTACCGGTTTGATTGGCAGGACAGCCGTAGTACTATAGAACTGAGAGTAGTAAGTCTCAAAGCCGGTAGCGATATTTGCGTTATTTTTGTCTATGGGCTCCGTTAGCCACTTAACACAAGGTAGGCCGTAACCTTTTACTGGTAGTAGGACCTCCTGAGAGTCCGCACGGGTAGGTACCACCGCCCCGCCTATTTCTGCCGTGAAGCAGTAATGCGTTTCGGTTTGAAGGGTGGGGCAGCCGTTGTAACTATACTGAGACCTCAGAACTTATATCTCAAGGTGTGTGGCGGCTGGAGTCATGGTCCAGGCGGCTGGCCGATCCTTCGGCTGGTCGTAGGACCGTCGAGGCGATTCGCCCGATTCTTGTGGATTAGGTGAATCGTGACAGAGGACGCCTCACTTTCCGGCTCACGCAGGTGCTCACTGGGCATGGTTGCTTCGGTGAGTTCCTGCACCGGATCGGAGGCAAGCCGACGGCAGAGTGTTACCATTGTGGTTGCGACTTGGACACGGTGGAGCACACGCTCGTTGCCTGCCCCGCATGGGAGGGGTGGCGCCGTGTCCTTGTCGCAAAAATAGGAAACGACTTGTCGTTGCCGAGTGTTGTGGCATCGATGCTCGGCAACGACGAGTCGTGGAAGGCGATGCTCGACTTCTGCGAGTGCACCATCTCGCAGAAGGAGGAGGCGGGGCGCGTGAGAGACGCACAAGCCCGCCGCCGTCGAGCGGGGGCCAGGGAGGCGGACCTCGCCCTAGCCTTGGCCCTCTAAGTGTTTCGGGTCCCCCTCATATGTCGGTCTGGGGCCCGGCGAAGGGGGCCTAAGAAGACGACGTGCAAGCTGCTCTGCACGCGTTTTACGCAAGAGTATCCGGGTGATGGAAGGCCGGCTATCCTCGACCCACGCTGGTTCTGACCCAGCGGGGTATTTCGTAGGATAACCTATTCAAACCGGCGCCATCTAGGCGGGCTTCGGACAGCCTGCCGACCGAGAGGGCTGGTGGTCGTGGCGCCGACGATCGCTGGCCCGGCGTCCTGAGGGGGAGGGTGATGGAAGAGATGTGCTCCGCACTAAACGCTTCACTCTCCTCCCCTTGCCTTTTCATGAGTTCTGTCTCATGCGAGGGTTGGACGTTGGTTGTTGAGCGACAGGAGGTTTTAGTCGGTTCGACTCCGACATGCCCCACCCTCCATCCTCAGTGGAGGGTGGGAGTCCGGCGATTTCCTCCTGACACATTTGGCGCATTTACGTTGTAGATGTCTATGGGCTCCTCCTCCTCCTTGCGTCGGTTTCCTCATTACTGAGGGTCGTGGTCATGGCCTTGAAACAGATTGTTTTTTATTATATTGTCTATGGGCTCCAGTAACCACTTAATACCAAGTAACCAAGTAGGCTGTGAGCTCGTCCACCCATCTAAACATGAGTCTCAAAAAAAAGGAAGAAAAAAAAACCGTCCCATATTTCTAAACGCGTATTCGAAACTATTATAATTCGATGCACAAATTCCTTAAACATAATAATATTTTTACCAAAACTTCAGTGTGTCGTGTTTGTGGGAAGTTATAACTTCACTGAAATACACAAGTTGAGCGTTCGAATCGTGGTCGGCGTTATCCGCTGTCGTGAAATCTCAGCCGTGAGAGTATATAGAAATTTTGCTCAATTTATTTGGAGTGCTTCCGCTACGGCTGGCTTAGTTCAATTGAAGTTCGCAACATTTTCCTCGCCTCGAAACTCTGAATTTAATGTTAATTATACATTTGTGCTTGTACAGTTGAACTAGCGAGCGAGTTTGATATTGAGTTGTCGTTAATTAAGATGAGATTTGTATGTAGTTGCACCCATTCACCGACTTTAGTTATATTGAAGCGCATATCACGTCGGTGTAGGTATGCGGTTTGAAATGAATTATTTTGAGGGAAATTTCCAGGAATAGAAACAATTTAAATCAAATCTAATGATCAAATGTTTTTTTTTGGGTCTGTACGTACGTCTACAAGCATACGGCGTAATTAGTTTTAGCTTAGTTTTACCGGAGACAATAAACAACAACAGAAGATAATTAGTACTATGGCTAAATTTAATCTCATTTTTCGAAATTCACAATTCAAAAAATACAAAAAGATAAAGTTAAACCGGAAAAGCGTTCAGTCGCAATTACAAGAGAAATAACAGAAAATAAAAAGAATTAAACTAACTAACTGTGAACATTTATTTGCGCTTAGAAATATCTCGTACGTTCTAGAATTAAAATAATGAGAGAATAAAGAAATAAGAGAAAACTTAACATTCTATGTTGTACCTACATTGATTTTTTTATCTAAATGAAAAAAAAAATGGGTCTTCAATAAAAGTATAAGAGTTCTAATGATCCTCTTTTGCTAGTATTTTATATCTAAGCGATAATCTATGTTACGCGAGAACTTCGACTCGATAAATTATCAGAGCAAGATCTTCGGACTGTCTACCGAATCCACACTGTAACTACATTTAAATAATAAACACAAATAAATAAACACATTTAAATAATATATAAGCGATTTTC